AAAAAGTGGAGGGATGGGTATATAGCTCAGTGGTAAAGGACTTGCTTAGCATTCCTGGGGCTAAATTCAATCCTCAGCACTGGGAAAAAAAAAAAAAAAAAGCAGCAGCCATAGGGGGAAATAAAACGCTGTATATGTGGAATACTTACATTTAACAAATTAACGTTTTTAAATTTTTAAATATTTTGATACAACCGGGCTATTTGTTCTAAAATAACTACAGAATATATTCATAGTCCAGCACAACTTTTGAGGTCCACTAATAAGTTATTTTTTTGATTTAATTTAGCAAATTCTACGGGTAATCTCATTTGGAAAGGTCAAGGGTGCAAATTTCATCCGTCTGTGAACGTGAGGGAACCCTGGGCACCACATGGCCTCTAGTGGCCCTCCTCCTCACCCTCGGAAGTCTTCTGGGAACAACCCTAAGCCAGTTGAGTCCTGTGGACCCGACCGCGGGAGGCTGCGCGGGGGAGCCCGCCCACGCTGTAGTTCGGGGTCCTGGCCCCCAAGCCCCAGGCAACCGCTTCTCTTCCCAATAGGGGACGTAGTCGCGTCGCCCCGGAGACCGTTCCACAGAAGGAACGCCCGAGGCTCACCTGGGTTCAGGGGATGATCCTTTCGCCAGGGTCATCATATCAATAATTTTTGGTCAAGTGGAAAGAAATGAAAGGGAACAGAGATCACCTGGCCCCGTGTGACAGACGCTGAATGAGGCTCCAAAAGGAGACGCCTCGGCCAGAGGGCACGCGGTGGTTCGTACGGTAAAATGAGAACAGACTGCAAGTGCACCGCTGCCAGGAAAAGCGCTCACTTGGGACCCAAAACTGCAGCCCACAAACCGACCTGGCACCCGAAACCCCAGGCGGGAACCCGGCCCTCCCGCCAGGCCCCGCCCGGCGCCCGAGCCACGCCACGCCCACTCTGGGGACTCCCCGCCCCTCGGAACACGCCTCCTCCAGGAAATGCCCCGCCCGGCGCCCACGCCACGCCCCCTCCGAGACACCCTGGCCTGCGCGATACGCCCCCTCCCGGAAATGCCCCACCCAGCGCCAGAGCCACGCCACGCCCCCTGGGGGCCCCGCCCCGCGCGACACACCTCCTCCCGGAAATGCCCCACCCAGCGCCAGAGCCACGCCACGCCCCCTGGGGGCCCCGCCCCGCGCGACACACCTCCTCCCGGAAATGCCCCACCCAGCGCCAGAGCCATGCCCCGGACCAGCACGCTCCACCCACCGCCCAAGCCACGCCCCCAAAGAGCCCGACTGGAACGGCCTCCCGGGACCCGCCTCCTTAGCAACCGAGAGACTCTTTCACCTTAGCAACGAGCGAAGCTCCCACCATGGCTGAAGACGAATTTGCTGCCCCTCCGGAGAAAGTTATCCGGGTCCAGAGGGTGTTTATAAACCTGCTGGACACCTACAGCAGCAGGAACATCGGGAAGGTGAGCCGCCGCGGCGCAGAGCCGAACCCCTGCCCACGCCGCCGGGTACCAGGCCCCCACCCGCCTCCCCTGAGGAAATCCCTCGTCCTGGCCAACGCCAATACCCCCTGGGCCCCGGTTCGCAACTAGGCTAGACATGGGCTCCCAGCTGGAGACACAAGTGTTTGGAGATCACAGGTCCAGTCCTGCTTCCTCCCTGGGAACTAAGGACAAACTGAGGCTCAGAGGGAGAAATGGACTTGTCCAGGTTCATGTAGAGGATTCAGGGCAGGACCTAGCCTCCTGACTGAGTCTCCTCCCTCCTAACGAGGCTGTCTCTCTATGCTGCAACTGCATCTGAAGCAGGCATGTGATGGAAAAGTTAAGTTCATGGAGTATTTTTCATTAGTCTGGCTCTTTTGTGAGCATGTTATGTAACAGGCACTCTTTGGGCTGGAGTACCTCCATCTTTTGTTCTGGAAAATGAAGATATTCAAAAGGAAAACCCAGAGGCCCTTCATCTTAAGTTGGTGTGCTGAAACCAGAAAGTCATGAATCTGTCATTCCCCTTGATAGGACCCTTTGAACTTAATTGTGCCCTCTGGAGTGACACAGAAATCTAACCTCACCCTGGGAACCTCTGAAGCTAATGATTTCAGATTCAAACAAGACAAAACTGCCTAAAATAGGATGCAGCTCTAGTACCAAGTGTCTGCACTGGTTTCCTAGGGCTGTGATAACAAATCACCACAAACTAGATGACTTCAAACAAGAGACTATCATCTCACATTTCTTGAAGGGAAGTGCAACATCAAGATGTCAGCAGGGCTACTTGCTTCTAGAACCTCTGCGGGGAGGGGATATATGCCACCTTTCTTTCCTGGCTTGTCTGGGAGCCTGCAATCCTTAACATCTCTTAGCTGACAGACCCGTTGCCCCCATCTCTGCCTCATTCCTCACATGGTGTCCTCTGAGTCTCTGTACCCTAATTTCTTCTGATAAGGACAACAGTCATGGGATTAGGGTCCATCCTAATCCAGTATGGATTTATTTTGACTACATCTGCAAAGACCCTATTTGCAAAGTACACTACATTAGAGACTGCAGGAGAACAGGAATTTGGAAAGACCATTCTACC